GATATGAAAACTGTTGTACAAATTTTTCAGGTGAGGCTCAAGATATAAATAGCAGGCATTATTCACACGTGAAAAAATCCTATACTCAAAGAAGTAGGTCCCACAGTAATTTTTCACGTGGAACACTGTATAAAATTTGACGAGCAATAGTTTTACTCATGTAGAACTAGTGTATTAGGTGATATTAGTGTTAAATAGACATATTTAATATTGATTTAATGAATTATTGCAATTTCAATTAACATATTAGAATCAGAGGAAGAAATTTGGGAAGTCACTTATTCAAACTTTCAAGTTGCCTATTGAAAAACACTTTCCTAACACCAAAACAAAAATTACGGACTCTCTACGCGCGTTTTGCTAGCCCAGTTAGCGTCATAATGATCTCTTGAGGACACATTGTAAAATCAATTCAAGAGTAATTGATAAGGCAATATTGTGAAATCAATTTAAGACGCTCAAGGCGCAGGAACCTAGAACAGGTATCTATGGTGGAAATAAGGATAGCTTTGTAAGTATGATTAGTTTGATCTTCCTCTTGAAGATGATCACTTGGTGATCGGAACACGTATCGAGATGGAAAAATAACGGTTTGGTGTGGGGAAAAAAACTCCAGTAATATTCATTACTACACCAAAGGTTCCAAACAGTGAAAACAGTTCCAGAATAGTACTGTAGTAGTACACTGTGAAAAGGATGCAAATCCAAAATAATTTATACAAAAAACTTTGTCAAATCAAAATCGGAATACAGGCATGTGTGGCGTTAGTGTTGATAAAAATGATATGTCTTTAGAGTTTTCCCCTCAAGACTTGGGCACATCTGGTTGTATATAATGCCTTGCCCCTCTATTAGAACTCTGGGGTGTCGACCGTTATAATGTCTATTACTCGTGGAAACAACATAGTGAATACTAATAAAACCAAAACAAACTAAAATGAATTGAGTAAAACAAATTTTCATGTGGAACGGTTTTATTGAAATAAAAAGATAATGATGTAGATAATGTACTGAAAGCTAAAAAAGGCTTCGGAAGGTCATTTAATATAACATTTTTTTCCTTATTTCAATAAGATTTCAGTTAAGCATTTCACACTTCTTATCACCTTTCATCAACAGATGCTGTGAAGTTAATTGAAAATGTCCTGAAGGATAGATCCCAAAGTGTTAAAATCGCTAATACGCAATCTAATTATTTATTTTTAAAATCAAGAATTCCTCAAAGATCAATTTTTGGACCACTCTTGCGGTGTTTACCTCTAATCTCATTAGAAGTCTACTTAAATGTAATATTCACTGTAACACAGATAATAGTCAAATTTATTTTTTCCCCTATTAAGAAACTGATACAGTTAATGAAAAATTTTTAAGATCACTGCTCAATTCTAAATCCCCTTCATCGAAAGCTATCCTCATTGGCTCAAAAAATAAACGCAGAGATGTCCTCAACATTATGAATATAGTTGTTAGTGATGACACCATAGATATTGTTGAGGAAGTCAAAGTTTTAGGTGTAATGTTGGATTTTAATGTGAAATTTTTACAATACATGTAAAATATGATGAATATGATGAAAATATTTTCTATCACCTAAGCTCAAAGTTATAATTTGTTGAAATTTACTATTGTCGAATTCTAATCACGCAGACGCTATTTATTGACCACATATAATTAATCAGTATAAATGAAAAATACAAAAAGTGCAAAATTCATGTTTCTCATAAAATAATTTGCACATTAACTCCTTCTTATTTACATCGGAAAATAATCTTTCGTATGGATAAGCATAATGTAAATGTAAGATTTAGGGGAATGTTGTCTTCGCCCTCTTTCGATACTGAAAATTAATGACATCATTACATCCGATTTTTCGAAATGAGGAGTTTTCCAGACTCCGTTCAAACATTATTTATTAAATCTTTCTTGCTAATTATCTTTAGAATTCTCATTCCAAATTAGCTACTGCTTAAAAAGTTATAGAATATGAATAATTTTTTTTTGTATTGGGAGGTATTTTTGGGGTTAAGTGAAAGAGCAACAGAGTAGCATTTCCGGCTTCCGAGTTGAATTTTGCCCTTTATTACGAGGGTTGCCTTTTATATTTCGGGATTGAAGAACAAAAACAAATATTATTCTTCGAAAATCACTTTATTTTTTCAAAAGATTCCTCATGAAGATCTATACACTTTTGCATGCGTTTGAAACAATTGTCTAAACACTTTTGCCACTCTGATTGAGGTGGTTCCAAAACATGCATTCTGAATGCAGCAACCGTTTCTTCAGGTGTCGAAAAACGTTGACCTCTCAGTTTGTTTTTTACGTGTGGGAATAAAAAGAAATCATTCGGTGCCAAGTCAGGACTATACGGCGGATGACTCATCAAATCGATGTTTTGGGTGTTCAAAAATGCAGATGTTTCAGCCGATGTGTGAGAGCTCGCATTGTCGTGGTGAAGAGTGATCCGTCTTTGGCGGTCAGTTTTCCTGATTTCTTGAAAGACAACTGGCAAACAAATGGTTGTGTACCACTTAGAATTGACTCTTGTGCGTTGTTCTAGTGGTACGGTTGCGACATGTCCAGTTTTTCCGAAAAAACAGGCGACCATTTGCTTGAAAGTGCTTCGTGCGCGAACAACTTTTGTTGGATTTGGCTCATCTTGAAACACCCATACAGTCGACTGCTGTTTACTTTCAGGCTCATACACGTAAATCCACGATTCATCACCTGTTCCGATGTCACAGACGTGTTTCGAAGCACCGCGATCGTATTTTTTGATCATTTCTTTCGACCAATCGACACGAACCTTTTTTGGAGCGATCGACAAATTGTGTGGGATCCGATGCGAAAAACATTTTTTGACAGTCAAATGTTTATGCAGTATTGAATGTATGCTGGTTCCACTGATAGTAAAAGGTTGTCTCAATCTCACGCTAGGTCACATGACGATCTTGCAACAACTGATTTTGGACGACCTTCACGATATTCTTCTTGGAGTGAACTACGACCACGATTGAATTCACCATACCATCGATAAATACGTGTCCTTGATGGAGCTTCATCGCCAAAAATTTAATTGAGTTCAACCATGCACTGTTGCTGAGTTAATCCACGTCGAAAGTTGTGAAAAATAATCGCACGAAAATGTTCACGATTTAATTCCATTTTTGGGCCGAGATGATTCTTTTAACTTACTGTAAACAACACAAATAGCGCGCGTATGTCAAAACGTTCTGAGTATGTATAAGCTCAAAAATGTCCAAATTTACGATAGAGCCAGATTGATAGAGCCAAGTTGCCAGATTGCAACACTAGGTTTGCCAAATCCCGAAACATAAAAGGCAACCCTCGTATCCTTATAAGATTATAATCCAAAGTCTTACTGTCTCCAAGTATGTAACGGGTAATAATAAAGACTATTATTACTATTATTTGTTGTATACTTGATGGATCAGCCCGCATAATGGGGAATAACAGACAGTGCGTTCTCAGTTCGTGAAATTAAAAAAAAGATAAATTGATTCAAAATGGATATTATGCTATATTAAATAGTGAAGCACTTATTTACAATTTTGTTGTCCAAAAACGATTCCTAATTACTATGATTTCATGCTGACATTAGGAAAATTATTCAATTATCTTTTGTTTCATGAAACTTCAAGGTATTTAAATGGGTCAGTCAATCGGAGAGATCAAAAATATTTTTGTGGATCCTGGAAACATGTCCTCGGAGGGGAGTTTTTTGCTTAGAAGCATATGGACAGTATGGGCACTGGAATGTTGCTGGTTTACCACATTCGAATTTAATATGCCTGAGGAGACTCGATTTCGCTCTATAGGTTTTTTCGCAACTAGGACATTGTATAGCTGAAACAACATTTCGTTAAAATAATTCCATAAATATCAAAAAGACCTGAAACTCAAATTACTCTGCACAAGAATTATTCATTCTTGAAAGTGCTCAATAAGAGAAGAATAATTTAGAATCGTTAAGAAAAAATCGCCTCTCCAATAATGCATTTTTCTTTGAAGTACAACACACTTTTGGACCCAGAAACGAAATATTTTATTGCAGCTGAAAAATGAGTGGTACTGAAAATCACAGAATGCATTAGTCGTCATATGAATCCCTTGAAATCTGCAAACTTTTACGAGTAAGTTTCGATGTAAAACATATTTTGACAGGTTTGTTTGAAGGTGATAGACAATATAAAATGATTTGAAATCCCTGAAACAACTAAAAAAAGAATTGAAAATGAATAGCTGTAAATAACAATTATATTAAGCAAGCATATCATGCATATCATATCAAGCATATGATTCCACAATCGAAACGTCGTGAACTAACTTGGCTTGAAATCTCTCAACGTTCTTTTTTATTTCCATCTTTATTTTCATTTTTTATTTCTTTATTTTCATTTTTGTCCAATTGCTTTATTTTTACTTTATTTCACTATTATTTCATTTCAGGTTTTTTTTTTGCTGTAATTTACAGCTATTTATTTTTAATTCTTCTTTTAGTTGTTTCAGGGATTTCAAATTATTTTATATATTAGACAATGGAAGTCCGAACAGTCAAGATCAGGAAGAGAAAACCATTTACTTTGAGGCTCCCAATTTCGTGATGATAACGTTTTATTGCTTCTTTTCAGAAATGCTCACAAAATGTATATTTCTGTCAAATCTCTGGCATGTCTGATCGTAGATATTTTAAGGAATTTTTCAAATAAATTTATTGAACAGAATTTTGTATATATATGACTTTTTAAGTTCAAATTTCGATAAAAAAACATCTAGTGTTTGGGATCTGTTTGAAAAATCTTTTTGAAATCTGTTTTTCCATTAACCAGCTGTCGCACCCCTACGAATGACAACCCTCAGAAGTCAAAACTTATGTGAGCTAAGGATTAACGAGGTCCAATTAACGTGTGATTCCTAGCACGGGGATTTCTGGTATCCTCACGAGAGCTCACAGACTAGCAATATATGAAAAAAATATACAGTAAAACTTTTCTCACTTTATTGGGAAACATAAAGAGTACTGTCTTGTGAATTTCAACAATAATATGCAAGATAATGAATTTTTTTTCGATGATGTTTCACGCACTGATACCTAACTGAAATACTTTTATCCACTTTTGAAAACCGAAGCGATAGGGATTATAAATGTTTTTTTAATGCTATATCGTGGGGTTTTGGGTGGTTTCTTTTTTCTGCTCCCTCATGTATCTTTGCTTCGCTAAACGGAACCATTCCGAAGCTATTTCTCCAAATTCCTTTTCAGTGCCAGGAAAATTCACGTTAATCGCATCTGAAACAACAAAAATAATTCCTATCATTCCTACAGTGTTGCTGAAAATCACCCCTTATTATATCCATCAATTTCAGAGACCCCACCCTGAAATTCTGCCTGAAGCCCATCCAAGAACATTCTTGGGCAATCTTGTTTCCAAAAACCTTTTTGAGCACTCTGATTATATTTTCCTTCTTGGTGTGTCCACCACATTGGGAAACGAAAATCATCTAAAATGACAAAATGAATCAATTTTGAAAAATGTGTCAATAGAGTAAAAAACTTACGAAATCTGACTTAAATATGTCGTCAATCGCCACTTTGAGATCAAATTCCAAAATCTCTTCAATGCTTTCGAAGGGAAGACAATCAAAATGAGTTGATTTCACAATAGGTAAGCATCTCTGAAGAGGATTTTGATCAACTCTATTTGTTTTGGCTATGATGTTAGTTTCTTTCTGTATCGATTCAAGCATGTTAAAAATCTTCAGAAAAGTACCTGAAAAAAAATTTATCATTGAAAATCCATATCTCTTTAGAATGAATTTACCTTCCAGATATTTCTTCAGATCCCTTGAATACATTTCATTTTTGTCTTCATTATGCTGATTGACAGAAGGCAACTTATGAACTCCTAAAAAATATACATATTGAAATATATATCTATCTTTCTTGAATATATCTGTCGCATTTTGATGAGAAAAAGTCACCCTTGATTAGATGAAATTGAACAAAATGTTCAGGTGCAACAAAATATTAATGTTAATGTAAAGTGAATTTCTGGATACAGTAAATTTGGAAAATCAACTGATAGTCTCATTACAAGTAAACTGATACTCGTACTTGGATTCTAGTCAAACTCGCACCCACAAAATATTCTAATTGGAATAAAAAATGTATCATTCAGGGAGGTGTTTGAAGGTGATTGACAATGTTTCGTGATGAGTTTCACTAGTTCGGACTTCCATTGTCTACTATATAAAATGATTTGAAATCCCTGAAACAAGTAGAAAAGAATAATTAAAAAAGAATAGTTGAAAATAACAATTATATTAAGCAACAATAAACCTGAAATGAAATGATAGTGAAATAACCTACAAGTAAAAATATAATAATTGAATAAATAAAAATTAAAGGAATGAAAAAAGGAAATAATAAAAAAATAAAAAGGTGTAGAGATTCCAAGTCACGTTAGTTCACGACGTTGTTGGTATCTACAATCGAAACGTCGTGAACTAACGTGACTTTTTATTTTTTTATCATTTTCTTTTTTCATTCCTTTAATTTTTATTTATTCAATTATTATATTTTTACTTGTAGGTTATTTCACTATCATTTCATTTCAGGTTTATTGTGGCTTAATATAATTGTTATTTTCAACTATTCTTTTTTAATCATTCTTTTCTACTTGTTTCAGGGATTTCAAATCGTTTTATATAGTAGACAATGGAAGTCCGAACTAGTGAACCTCATTCAAGGAGGTGATAAAAACGTGCAGAATAGCAGAAAGGACAAGAGACGAACTAGAAAAAATAGTTCTCCGAACCGAATATAATAATGCCCGGACAGACAATTCCGCTTTCTGCTTCGATAAGTTTGTTGGGGGTTAAAATGGATCCCAATATGTCTTGGCACAATCATGTCGCTAGAATTGCGAAGGATGTTTCTCAAAAGCTTGGAATACTTTTTGGGAAAGAAAGTTTTTGACTTTCTACTACTCCATCTTGATACAAAAAAAGGATGAGGGAATCTTCCAGAGGAAGGAAGGAAGTAATCAATTTGAAAATAAGTAACTCTATACATGGAAGTGTAGATCATGCAAAGAAGTAACTGTCAGACACAAACTGAAAGAAAGTTCTCCTGAAACAGCTACTTTCATATACTTCTTCGATTGACGACTTGTTTATTTTGTGGAAATTCATGTTCACTGAGGATACACTACAAAAACACACTTTTGTCTATTTTCCACTATACCTCACTGGTATACATCGATGTTTCGCCTTAAGACACTTGCCCTAAGTCTCTTCAGTACCAAATTGGATAACATTATAGAAAATACACACAATTCATTCATGAATTACGATTTTTAGTGTCACGGAATAAGCTTGATCTGCTATGTCATCGATGACATCGTAATGACATTCATTCACCTATTTGATTCAATCCCAGCCAAGAGGAATCTTATTTGAATTGAAATCGTTATATTTTTAGAAGTGATTAATTTTTGGGAAAGAAAGTTTTTCGCTTTCTACTACTCCATCTTGATACAAAACAATGAGGGAATCTTCCAAAGAAAGGAAGGAAGTAATCAATTTGAAAATAATTAACTCTATACATGGATGTGTAGATCATGCAAAGAAGTAACTTTCAGACACAAACTGAAAGAAAGTTCTCCTGAAACAGCTACTTCCATATAAACATTGAATTACACGAAAGAAAAAAATTCTTTCGAAACAAATACTTCTATATGAACACTGAATTATACAGAAAATACTTTTCTCTACTCAGTTTGTATTTCAAACATTCGTTGTGGAATAAAAATCAGATATCATCCACATGAGTTCTACTTTAAATGAATGGTAACAAATTGCACTTACATGGAACACTGTCACCCTCATTGGGATACTGTTCTGAATCAGAAAAATGTTCATACCTCAGCAACTTGTGATGCTTTATAAAGCTCAGATCAGATCTTTTTTGGAGTATTGTTCACATGTATGGAGCTCTTTACCTAAGCATATCCTGAATTCTTAAGTATTAGTGAATAAACCGAAAGAAGACTTGAGAATATGTATGGACCGGAAAGATATCAACAAAGTCATAAAAAAGAAATTGGATGCCTCTAATGCTTTTCAACAAATTAAACTGTATCAGAAAAGTTAATATTTATGTACTTTCAATACTCCATACGGAAGGTACAGGTTACTGAAACTTCCCTATGAAATTACATTAGAATCAGAGATATTCCACAAGAAAATTGAATTGTTTTTGAAAAACTAGAAGGTTTAGATTCCTACATTGATGATTTTTTAGTTTGGGGAAAAACAAAAGACGAACTGGTCAAATTATTGAAACAGATTTTTTTAAACAGAATGTAAGGAGATTAACTCAAGTTAAATTTCAACGAATGCAATTTTGGAGTAAGTAGTTCGTTATTTTTGGGACATAAAATATCGAATCAAGGAAAAGAGCCTGATTATGATTGAATTTTAGACATTGAATCTTTCTGGATTTAATTATAAAATATCGAAAAAAAGTTATATTTTTTTTGAAAGAGAAAGTTATTTGAATTCCTACAATTCAAAAAATTTCAAGATCTACAGGGTGTTTCTATTAAAAAACAGCTCAACTAGGAACACTGTAATTCTAAAAGATTTTTATAATCATCGATGTTATTTATTTCATTCTCCAGATACGTCCAATAGTCCATTGAACTTGGGTTTCCTTGTATATATTGCAAGCTCATTAGTAAAATATGATTTTCAACATTTATTGTTAACGATGTTTTTGTCTTCGTGTTTGTTGAAATAATGCACAGTGAGGTCATATTTTCTTTTGTAGCTTCTGCCGCATCCCTTCACTTTACATGTGTGTTTGACAGCGCAGTAATACTTGATGTGATAGCAATATGTGGAATACTTTAAAAACCTCTTTTGACACAATGAACATTTATAAGGGAAATCTGAAAATGAAAAATAACTATTAACAATGAGCAGACCTCAAATTCTTCCAGCTTTATCTTCAAAGATTCCTTCAAAATTTTTCGTTAGTCATTGTTACATACTATTCATAAGTACTAATAGGTAATAATTGAATACATGAAATTTCATCCAGAATTGTTGAGCTAAGAGCCCGGCTTATGTGGCTTCCCTTAAAAAAAATATTTAGTAGAATATTTTATTTACTAAAATACTACTCAACTCAATTGTACTACCATAAAGTATAAAAAGTAAAAATGCCAACTACGAATTATGGATCCTCTAACACTATCCACATTATATAACTTTCACAAGGCGTTTCGCTATGAGGTAGTTTCATCAGTTACTGGTAGAGTAATCGTATAGCGAAACGCGTTTCAAATTATCATTATAGATAATTCCAACTACGTGTTTTGTTTGTCTGATGGGCTAACCCGTTCAAATCATTCTAATTGAATTGAATTTGTGAATATTTTGTGAAGAAATGTTGAACCAGTTAGTGTGCCTATATCAGATTTGGATGTTGTATATATTACTGTAAATCCGATTTGAACTTTGAACTTTGTGAGATGGATTATTATAAATATGATTCAAAAACGAAAGTAACAATTACCTACTGAGTTTGACCGTTAAAATATAGTAGGTCATACTGAAACATATTTTTCTGGATCTGCAATATTCCAGCAAGCTGAAGAAACAACATATAAAGAAATCAAAAGTTTTTTCTAGTAAGTGTAGCCATGAAAAATCAAGTTTGACAATTGCAGTACATAGTTTCCTCTACAGCTTGTCAAATCTAGGTCTAGGTCAAATCTAGCTGGTGAAATGAAAACAATTGAAAATGGTGAGTCATCCTCTTTTTCAACGCCTGCTGGAAAGAAAAGCATCAAAATCAGATTTTATGATCTCGATATATAATCAATAATTACATTACTGAAAAAAATTCCCACCTTACGCCGTATACATAAAAAATTCGTTACAAGGGGTCTTATGAGTCTCTGAGGAAAACGATGAAAGAAATAGGGTTCAGATGGAGAAAGACAAAAAAAAATTTAATTGTTCATGGAAAAACAGGCAATTCAGCAGAGACATGAAGAAATACCGTGAAGAAGGACGAACAATAATTTATATGGATGAAACATATATCCATGTTTCACATACACTTGAGAAGAGTTGGAATGATGATTTGAATGAAGGGATGTTTGAATCAATTTCGAAAGGGTAGAAACCTATAATTGTGAATGCAGGAGGAGAAAATGGATTTGTGAAAAATTCATATTCATACATTCGCTTAGCGAAATGAATTACAACAATTACAAAAGGTGGTTGCAAGTAATGTTAATTCCCAATCTTCCAGAAAAAAAAACGATTTGGTTATAGAAAATGCCAATATCACAATGTTCAGTATGAAAAGTGCCCAAACATGTCTTAGAAGAAAGATGAGATGAGAGAATAGTTAACACTACGGAAAACTGATATCGATTCCTTTGAAGAAATCCACAAACCAAGATTCAAGTTGTATGAAATTGATAGAATTAGGGAAAATCATAGACATGTTCTACTCAGATTGCCTCCTTATCATCCAGATTTGAACCCAATGGAATCAGTATGGGCATAACTGAAGCAATATGTGGCTGATAAAAATGTGGAATTCAATGTCAAATCCGTTGAAAGTTTATGTGACAAATTCTACACTTCGTTTTCTCGAAAGCATTGGAAAAATGTTGCGAACACGCTGAACGTTTCGAATAATTTTATTCTTCGAAGGAACTTGCTCTTGATTTCGCAATAGACAAAATTATTATAAATGTTCAAGGTGATAGTGACAACGATAGTTCCAGTGAGGATAGTGATAACTCTAGAAATAATTCCGATCTATCTGGAGTTGAACAGTTGTAATTTTTTTATCAAAACTTAGATTATATTTTTGTTTGAATTCATTCATCTTGATAAATATAATGTTTCCCAAAAAATTTTCATTTTGAAATTTAATCTTCAACTCAAATAAATTACAGTTGCAGAAGTCTTTCTACCTTCCCTTTAATGAAATTAAATGCAAATGCAACAAACAAAATCCTTTATAGAAAACTCCTTTATATTCAACTACATATAAACCTCATTATTATGCCAAACTAATAATTGATCATCAAATAAAAAACCATCAA